GAGCTGTACAATGGCAGCCAACTGAGAACGAAAAGTGTGAAATCAATGATACATGGCCACTCTGGCCAGTCGCTAGACCGAACGAACCGCAGAAGCTGAGAGGATTTTAGCATTTTGGCCGACAACGAATGCAACTCAGGTTTAGCTCTTGTGTGTGGGTGAAATAAAGTAATTTTTATTTTACTAGGTTGGACTTTTATTTTCTTGGTGCACACAATACATTTTACAATATTTACAACAGCAATAAACTCATTTCCTATGTGGGCGTGGTCAACAGAAAAAAAAATGAATAGAAACACAAAAATTAAACAAACAAGCAAATGGACGAAAACACAAATCCGAAGACAATTTCGTATCCTGTTGACTAAACAGATGTATGCTTGTATGCTGTGTACAAACACACACACACACACACACACACATTGTCACTTATTTAACAGAATTTTCTCTCTTTGTGGAACTGCGGAGAATTTTGTGTACGTCAGCTGTTTGCCGTTGGAATCCGACCAAAAGGAAAATCCCAACCAACAGCACATTAGTTAAGTATAAAATTTTAATAGTGGCCGTGGCACTAGTCTAAGTCCCTGCACCACCTACACCTCCCTCACTCCCCGCACTGGCCAACAATTTGTATGGCCCATTCCCAGCCAACCAGCTAGCCAGCCAGCGAGCCAATGCTGTGACAACTTACCCACAGCCAAAGGGGCAGCAGGCGGAGCGGTTCGGAGTGGAGTGGAGTGGTTGGTTGGCTGGTAAATTTGTGCAAATTTGGCTTGTGGCCAGAACTACTTTACAGTTGTGCGGGCAGGCGGCTGAAATTGTTGTGAAATTTTAACTAATATCAGACACAGAGGCATGGGACGGTTTGTTGTGGCAGTTTCTGAAGTACTTTTGCACTTTTGGCAGATGTTTCGCAACAGAATTTAAATCTGAATCAAATACGGTTATGCATCTAACAAGCAAACTCATCTAATTTGCAACTTCAATGTTGACAATGAAAGGGAACAATTTTAGAAATATTTGCATGTATATGATGAAGAGTCTCTCAGTTTTAATTTGGTTA